GGAAGGTGAGAGCCTTCTGTCTTTCACCACAACGCGGCTCCTTCTCCCTTCTCGCTGTGAAGTACTGCTCTCCCCTCTTGTTCTCATCACATTGCCTCTGTTCTCTCTCACCATGAGGCTATCGTAACATACACAGGGAAAGCTTGCCAGGAGGGGTTAATCTGCTTCAGGAGGGACAAAGGCAGCCCGTGGACAGTGGAGGTTCTGGGTGAGGTGCTCTACTTCCATCAGCCAGGTGCCAGTACCAGGGCCGATGGATGTGCTGCCCAGGGTGGGAAGAGACAAGCTGGTCAGGGCACAGAGAGGGGTACAGGGATTTCAGTGCAGTAAGAGTGTGTTGCTCATCAGGAAAACTTTGCTGCTCCAGTTGAATTAATTCAGACACAAATTTTTTAATTATGATCAGAACTTGAATGGTAAGAGAGGCCATATCTGAAATACAATCATTGATACCTCAGTAAAGACTAAAAATACTCCAGACTGACTCACTTAAATCACATGTAATGTGTCTCCTCAACAAGATGAGATCTCATTTTTCAACACTCTGGGAAAATCCAACTGTACTTGGGGCATACTAGTGCTTGGCAGTCTAAAAATACGATTCAAAGAACTAAAAATATTTTTTCAACCTGTACTAGAAATTATCTTCCCTTCTTTTTAAATTACCAACTATTCTGCTGGTAAAGTAACTTCACAGATGATTTATTCTGCTGTTAAAATCACATTCTCAAGTGGTGACACCTCCCCATTGTTTTTTACTGTGCCTTTTTTTTTTTAATCTCTGTGAGATTTTTCCTCAATTGCATTTGAACTAAAACTCTACTGGTCCTCAGTGAAGAAAAAAAAGACAAAAGTGCTGCTATTTTAGCAACCTTTCAATATGCACTATGCTTGTGGGTGTGCCTGTGAGCCTGGAGGTTATGCGCTATCACCCCATTTTAAAGGAAGTTTTTGTCAGATACATGCTCTTCATTAAAGATTTCTGCACGTAGCAGTATTCAATATGCACTATGCTTGTGGGTGTGCCTGTGAGCCTGGAGGTTATGCGCTATCACCCCATTATAAAGGAAGTTGTCTTTTTGTCAGATACATGCTCTTCATGAAAGATTTCTGCATGTAGCAGTAACAAGGGTATGAGGAAATCTGCTGCCTTGGGCTAGTCACAGATTCACCGGCTGTATTAATAGACAGGATTAGTGAAGGAGAACCTGCAAAGCTGCTGTCCCTTGAGATTTCCTTCTTTAGATCATTAGTGTATTTGAAAAGCTCCCTTGAACGCAGGGAGCAGAAACTGAGGAAAAGGCTGGAACCATTTTATTTCACCAGGACATACCGAGGAAGGGGTAATTTCTGGGTCACAAGCTCTGCTGAAAATGTCTGTCCAGTTTTCTCCACAGGCGCCCTGGAGGAACAATAACATCAGTTTTCTGAGCAGAGAGGCAGCTGTTACAGAGCAAGGAGAGACTATCATAGGTTTCTACCTACTGGCTTTAGGTATGTACTCGGCTTGGATGTGAAAGGAAGCTCCTAAGTAGAGTTTGGTATAAAGTTCAAAGTGTTTCATTTGGGTTTCACCCATAATGGAACAGGGTGTTAGAATATGCAACTTCTTCCTTCAGCTATTACAAAAATCAAAAAGGTACACCTTTCTTTTGTTAAAGAGAAATTAATAATCAATGCAGAAATCTTGAAGGGAAAAAAATAGTTAAGCCTGTAAACTTTTAAATAATGTTCACTCAACTTAGTATGTGGAAAATTAAGTTCCTTATCAGAAGTACATGATATTTGTGTCTTCTTCTGTCTCGGTAGCACTGAATTATTGTTCTGTGATCCCCAGCATTTTGACAGCTAACGGTCTGTTGGCACCCTACAGTTACCTCGGGCAGAGATAAATAATACAGTTCTGCAGTTTTAAACATTTTTTTTTTAACTATTTGTACTGCTCTTACTTTAGAAGTTTGAGGCACGTAGAAATAAACTTCCTCAAACAGGATCTGTGAAGGCTGTAAGTGCTACAACATTATGCTGTGTTAGCAGTCACAGTACTGTGCGTTTATTTCGGTTCTGCTGTAAGACAGCTTTTGTAGGTGTATCACAAGGATTCGAAACTGGCACTCGATATGAACTCACATGATCCCAATGCAATTTTGTTTTGCTTATTTAAATAGTATCTATTTGTGGCAGACTCATTGCAAGATACAAGGAAACTTTATCAAATTTCAAAGAATGCAGTTTTGCTAGGTAATCAAAATTTCAAACCATAAAACCACACAGGAAAACAGAAGAAAACATAGCTTTTATTAAATCTGTTCTCCCAAACAGCATATACAGAAATGTTTCTGGTTTTAGATAATTGATCTAAACAGATTTTTTCTTCTTCTAAGCTTTTTACATATGGCAAGTAGCTTATTAGCCCTCAGATTATGCTTGAGAAAGCTCTATAGAAGTTACAGTGTGAAACGCTAAGTAATTTAATATATATATTTATTTACCTATAAGAACTATGGAGAAAAAGTTGTGGGTAAAATAAAAAGAATAAAAAGAGAACTTCTAGTAGAAAAATGTATAGCTTCTTAGGAGACTTAATTAGAAGAGTGGCTGTAAGATAAATCAGTTGTTCCAATTTATCCCCAATCTGTTCACATCTGCATATCCCTTCATGAATGGCTGGGAAATGGCTGCACCATCAGCTAATGAATTAATCAGCTGCACTTAAGACTAGAAAGAACATCTTAGGTCAGCATGGCCAGTCCCTGCTGTTACAATATGTAATCTCATTTATGAAGCTATCATGCTCCCTCATATAACTGGCTAGAGTTTTTTTGGTGTTGCTTCCACTCTTCCAATTGACAACCTGCTCCTGATTTTGTTCCAGTCTTAGGCAGGACCCTAAATTCTTAGCTAACGTGATAACACTAACTTTATTCCTTTTTTGTTCCTTTTAACTGAAGTAATTTTTTTGCCTGCAATTAATATCCTACTGACAGTCTTTGTTCCTAAAGGAACAATCATACCCTGTGGTCAACCTTTGTATTCCTGTATTAAGGGAGGGCTTTTGGTTTTTTGTTTCATTGATTTGGAGTTTTCTTAATCTGCTGTCATAACATCCTTTCCCCTGTCATTCCAGCGTATCATCCTCGCAGCCTTTTATGCTGTCTTTTCCAACCTGGGCTCTTGTGGTTTTGGGGTTTTTTTTAACTTACAGCCAGGACTGAATACAGCATCTAAGCAAGGTCTTGCTATCACCATTGACATTAATATTTACACTTGGCCAGCTCTACTGATTCTCCGAGAGTTGCCGCTGCATCACACTGGTGGTTGAAACTTCTGCCATCAGTTGGCCATCGGAGGTGTTTTCCTCTGCTCCTTCCTGGTGGTGATGCCACATCTTCTAGCAAATACTTTTTAACGTACCTAAGCTTTCAGGCTGTATGTCTATTGGGTTTTGATTGCTCCAGATCCTTCTGCCAAGCTTACAAGTGCTTGGCATGTCATAGCTGCTGTTCTTGAAACTTACCTCCAGACTCAAAACTCAGTGAGTATATATAACCAGTGATAACACTACTCCAATTTAATTGTAGCGTGGATCTGGTGAAAGTGTGATGGAAGTAGGTACACCTTTTTGGAGTAAAAACTTTTTAAAAAAATCTATTAGTAATACATAAATCAGAAAAGTCCTTATGTCTTCTTCTGCTCAAAGGTCTACTGCCACACTTCTGCAAGCACCAGCTGTAACAATTTACAGCTATTAGATTTATGTACACCAGTAACTCAGTTTATGGGGAGCAGTGATGTGACAGAACAAAGTCCTCTGTTACACAGACACCTTCTTGCCCTTCTGACAGCACAGAACAAAGGCCAGTCTGGAACCTTCCCGTATCTGCATGGCTTTAGGGGTCTGGAAATACAATCTGCATTTCCAGGAGGTCCATGGGTAGATCCTTACACAAAATCCTAAAGGTGTTCATATTCCATACTTTGGGGTTTTTGATGCCTTGGGAAACAGCTTCAGTGGTTACACTTCTGTAACTGCTACATATTTTCTTCTCTTTCAAATCCAAGTACACCAGTGCAGCTTTTTGCAAAAAGGGGTGTTTGTCATTGGTATTCGTGCTTACCCAGACGATGGAGTTTCTCTGCATCACCTCACCTTCTCAAGATAAAGTCCAGAAAATCTAACCATCTCTGGCCAGGTCTTCCCATGGCTACACATCTTGGCAGAATGTGAATATCCAAGAACCATGTTCTAACACGTTTTGCTGAGATGAAGCCTCTTTGCGCGTTCCCTTCTGGAAATTCTCAAGTCAGAGGTAGCATGGGTGTCATATGTGACAGACAGGACTCTGATGTATGTATCATACACCTGCCACCATGCTGGTGTGTGGATCCAGACAGAGGGTCCCTCAGCATACCGTGTGGAAACCTGAGCTCACAGCTCTTGGTGGAACAGGTATTGCACACTAACCTCGCAAGCAATCCAGCATCAAAGTGGGGGGGGAAATGCAATGCCAACCCCATAGTCGTGAGCCATCATAGCATGCTTAGAGGGACTCTCTGTGAGTGTTGGCAGCCACTGTGTTACCCTTCATTTGCTCAGCTACATCAGCATTCTCATTCTGAAGACAGCACTCCGTTTCCATCCTTCCCTTCCACGAGCTCAGAACTGTCTTTGACGCATGGGTGGGAGCTTGTCCCATTGCTAGCATTACGTCTGACCTCTTTTTGCCTGTGCCTTCAGTGGTGTAGTACTGTGGAAAATCCTTGTAGGGTTTAAATTATTAGGTGTAATTTAAAAGTACTGTACACAGATGTTGGCTAATTCAAACTTGGACCGGGGAGTGGGGGGGGAATGAAGCAATTTTTTTCTTTGTAATTATTAATTGGAATTCTGAAGTAAATTGTTCTTTATTGCATTTATACACAGTATGTTCTGTGCTCATTGTTGCTAGTTTCACAGCTAACCGGGACTGTTAGAGTGAATGGTTGGCACAAAAGGAAATTCTAAGTCAGTAGGAGAGAATATTTGTCAGAGAACAAATTCTGACTTTTCTGTGAGTGCTTTTATCAGAAAGGCATGCTGAGAGCATTACCAAGCCCATCAGACAGCTGGGAAGACCACAGAACCCAAACATGCCTTTAAATGGCACGTGGTTTTGAATGGTAATAGTAAACTGTTATTTGGCAAGTGACAGAATGAGCATTATTTTGAGACATTGTTTGACAGATAAATCTGAGAAGGTGGGAAAGGCAACAAACTATCCATAAAACATTCATCTGCAAAAGGATCTCGTTTGTTGAGCAAATAATCTCTCCACACTTTGTCAAGTCTAAAACATGATGACTCTTCTCCTTCCTGCCAAAAATGGTAATATTCCCTGAATAGGATACTATGTATGTATAATTAGCAGTGAAGGCTAAAAACTGAGCAGGGTCACTTCACAGTTGAATTAGTTAATGACAGCTTTGCAAATTCTCTACAATTTATCACTGGTATAAATGAAGTTTTCTAGTCTGAAAATCTTTTACAGCAAACCTTTCCAGACAGACTTCTACGCTTCTGTGTAGGTAGTTGAATCAGTAATTGACTTCATTCATGTCTGCCCTATATCTAGCTGCTCAGTCCAATTTCTGTCCTAGAGATAAGGTTATTTACTGAGGGAAAAGCATAGCTTGTCTTGGGGCACTGAGCTTTTACCTTTTGCTCTCATTTCTTGAATTCTTCCACTTAAGGCTCCCTGTATATTTTAAACTGCAGATGCGTGAGTTGTAACACCCATCTTTCTAATTCATACTTGTCAGATTTTACAAGTAAAGGCCATGGAACAATGTCTAATAAGAGCAAGTTGAAGTGTAAAGCATAATAACCTATCTTAGCTGGGCATGGATGCAGTCATCTGTTGGAAATGTGGATGACCAGCTCAGAGCTATCAGTTCCCTTGTACCAAATTTAACTCTGCAAAAACATAAATTGAATGTTAAAAATGAAATTGCATGCAGCCTGTTCAACCTGTTCTCTTATTGCTTGTTCAAATAACATCTCAGGTACATGAGAGAAAAATAGGGTATGCCTGGATGCTCAGGCTTGAGTGATTTGGCAGAAATTGTTGTGTTCCCTCTTTGCTATTTCCAGAGTTAAACAATCACACTGTTCTCTGTTGCTTTCAGCAGAGAGGTTTTCAATATCCTTAGTCACCCTTGCTAGCTACTGTTTCAGTGCTTTCTTTGCCTGGTCTGGCGGGCAACACATTGATAAAGGATTTTGACAATAGGGTTTTGGTTCCTGACTATAACAAGATGCTTGGCAGCCTTCTGGTGCCTCCCCCAGCAGTCATGGATAACAGCACCAGCCTCCCTGGTGGAGCACTTTTGATGTCTGTGGATTAAAATGCTCAGTTAGAGGGTTATTATTCCAGGGGAAGGATTAATACTGAATTATATAAGGGAAATATAACATTTTTAATATTGCTTTCCATCCTGTTCCTCCTACCTCCCTACTTTTGCAAATGTGACACCAAGTACTTTTCTGTGGGTGTCTGAGGAGTAAAAGCGACTCCTTAGCCATTTGATATTTAGCTTTTATCAACACTCATTTAACCTATTCTACTTTGATACTGCCAGTCTCACAGGAACTGCTCTCAGTCCTGCCCTGCGTTAACAAGCTTCAGTAGCTGTGTGTTATCTGTGTATTTTGCCACTTCAGAAGGGCCAGCAGCCTGTATCCGACATCGTTACAGCTTGTGGGGGAAAATTTGGTGATTCCTCTCCGGACTTCATGTTGGGTGGAAGTGCTCAGTTTCTTCCTATCTGCTATTTTTCTCCCCTCTCAGCCACACTTTTACGTCAGTTGAAACCTACCCTTCCTGAGCAGAATTACCTTGGGATTCTGGGCGTTGCTTTTTTTTCATATTATCTTGTGAGTGAATAGTGCTGGCAGCTTGCAAAAAAAATGAAATTGGTTCCCTCAGTGTTTCTTATCTACCCTCTGTTTTACTGAGATGTCGTCTGCTGACACCAAGGCCTTATAGCACTTCCAAGTTCAGAGGTTTCTTTGGGCTCCTCATCTGCCTGTGGTGTACCCTGGGGCACTCGCTGCCTGCAAAGGGGCTGGCGGGGGGTCCTTACCTACACCCAGTGTCAGAGCTATCGCTGTGCTCCCTCCACATTGCTTTTTTCAACCTTTTCCCCTGATGTGCTATCAGGGTTTGAGGGAAGGAGGTTGTTTGGTTTGAGCTGTTCTTTTGGTTAGGGTTGGTTGGGTGGTGTGTTTTGGGGGTTTTTTGTTTGGTTTGGTTTTGGGGGCTTTTTGGTTGTTTTTGTTTGTTTTGGTGTTGTTTGAGTTTGGTTTTAAAAAAAAAAAACCAAAACACAAAAAACAAAAAAATCAGTTAATATAGTCAGCAACCCCTGCCCAGCCTATCTATCTGATGGTGCAAAGACCCAGTGTCCCATAGCCACTGCTCTAGTTGACAGCACCTTTATGTGACCACTATGCTCGTTACTCCACAGTTTACTGAGAATCAAGTTCCTCCATTTTTTTTAATCACAGTATTAATATGCCTTACTACCCAGGGAGATCAGATGTTTTAAGGACTGGATATGCCAGGTCTGGTTACACAGGTCTCCACCTGCTTTGGTTAAAAGGATTGTGCCTACCTACCGAAGTCATACTTGCTCCATAACCTCATCTCCCTCAGTGCTTCCCTCATCCCCACCCTCAGCGTGTCAATATAGTTCCAAAAAATGATCGTGAATGCTGTGTCTCTGTCACCTCCATCTAAAGCATGCACTGTTGTTTCACATGAGGTTTTGCTCAGTTTCTTTCTTAAGATACTTTAACTAAAACTCCCTTACAATCCAGGCTAAGGGGAATTTGCTCTGTATTCCCAGGAAGTGGATGTACCTGACACTTTAAGGGCAGCTCTCATATCCATTACGCTGCATGGACAAAATTTTGCTTTTTTCCAAGGAGGTGCCGTTTTATTTTGTCTGCCATTTTAGCACTATGTCTTCATCTTGACAGGGAAAATATTTCCCTGCCTACTGACTTGAAAACTATCTTACCTTACAGGAGGTAGAGCTGACATACACGAACACCGTGTTTGCATTGCAGACTGTGCTGATGCATTCCCAAAGCTGTCCTCGTCCAGTGCCCTGCTGTGCCTGTTTATAATACCTGCACTCAAGACAAAAGTCAGAAACAGTTCCTGACTTAAAGTGTGTGCAACCGCTGGAAACGAGATTCTTGATTAAGAAATATTGTCACCTAGTGGCCAGAATAAGATGTATTTATTACTGTTGGTCTTTTATCCTTATAACAACATATATATGTATCTGTGTACCATGGCACCGGCGGCTATTTCTGGTTAATACCATATGCCAACATGTCAGCTCTTCCCAGTTCAAAAGCTCTTTAGTAAACCATGTGCATTTGAGCTGCAGCAGCGTGGCAATTTTGCGAAGAAACATTATTCAGAGGAAATTGCTCTGCAGAAAAAGCAGTTCATAGTGCCATACCAGGATTGTCCCATCAACCACCTCCCCTCCCACTCCAGACCACCCAGAGCACCTCACCAGGCAGTAAGTACCCAGCCTCTCTGTTCAGAGAACAAGCGCCTCGCTCTTCGGCTTTTCACCTCGTGACACTCCCAGGTGGCCTGGAGATTCGGAGGCAATTTCCTTCCCTCCCTTCCTAGCCAAGGTGGCCCTGCGGCAACGTGCTGGGTTCCTGACGTACGGGGTTGTTGAAGCTTCCTGAAGGAAGGCAGCTGCCCTCTTGCTACAACATTAAACCCATCGGCCATCTTTCGTGAACTCCTTTGAATATCCAGAGATGCTGTGCAACGCCATTATGTAACATCCCTTTTCAATGCAAATATTCACCCCTTGCTGTGTCAATATACATCACCCTTACTCTGGGATATCTACCACCTGTGCTTGGATAGAGGGCTATGGATCAACCTTTTTCTCCCTCACCTGGTAGTTAATGTTGTACCCTGGCATCAGCTGTGGGAAACAAAGCCACCAGCTGCTGGGTTCCTAAACCTGTTCTAGGCTGCAGGCATTCAAGAGGTGGTGTTTTGCTCCATGTTGCCAAGTTCAAGTGAGGCCACCTATGGTGGCAGTGGTGGACCTGGTTTGGGGAGTGGAAACAGGAGCCAACGGGGAGCTGGGTGCTGCTCGACCTGCTGCTCAGCCCCACTCCTGCAGAAGCCCTGGAGCCATCCCCTTTTTCAAGGGAGAAAGCCCCATTTTCAACACTGAGCCTAACACTTATGAGTAGATGTTTTGGTAAAAATTATTTGTTTCTACATCATTCCAAGAAGTGGGATGCAAATTATCAAGGCCTTGCACGAGTGGGTGTAGCCATGCACATTTGCAAACCAGGTCTCTCCAACTAAGTGGCTGACTTTCACCAGGTTTACAGTCATGTCCCTTGAGTTTTCCTCATGCAACTAGGCATGTACAAGTCTCTGTTCATGGAGAGTAAGAGAGGACACAACTTTCTTTAAAAATAAATTTTAGAATACTTCAAAGCTTCCTAAAGGTCTGTTCTAAATGTTCTCTTCATACAGTCTATCAGATGTATTACAGAAAAATATTCCTATCTGGGGTAGGCTTTGTTTCAATGAGATCCTAAACTTTCCTAAGAGAAGAAACTTAACCGTATTAGCTGCACTTCTCCAGAGAGGACTGGTAAAGCGACTCTCTGGCTATGTGCATGAACTGTTGTTACCCATTATTGTATACAACATACCTAAACAGCTGCAGCTTTTGAAAGATAGTTTGTAGTCTCTGTTCCACTTTACCAATCTCTTCTCCTTCCTTTTTTTCCCAGGTGTTACATTTCATGAGTTTCATCTGCTCATTTAGAAAAAAAAATTCTCTAGGCCCTTAATTGGTGGATCTTTGACAGATGCAGCAGCAGCTCTTCATGTTTGTTCTATTGACAGAATAATTCACTTGTTCCTGCTTCTGTAATGTAACCATCTATTTAAAATGGCTTCATGCATAGGTTTTCCCATGGATAATCTGCTTTAATTCGTTTCTAATGGAACAAAAGAGTAACTTTAGAAAAGATGTTGCACTTTTTACACACTGAACTGCTTCTTGCTTTATTTGCTGATTTCATGGATTTAATTTTTTTTTTTTTTACAGGTTGGTTGTCTTGGTTTGGAAACAGCATTGTGATTTTTGTCTTGTATAAACAAAGACATCTTCTGCAGCCCACTGACTACCTCACATTTAACTTGGCAGTATCAGATGCCAGTATCTCTGTGTTTGGTTATTCACGGGGGATCATTGAAATCTTCAATGTCTTCAGAGATGATGGATTCATTATCACATCGATATGGACTTGCCAGGTAAGACTGGATTACACTTAATTAGATAAAATAGGTGCAGCTATTTCTGTGTATATGCTATATATAAATAACCTGACAGGCCTAAAATAGTGATAAGAAATACTGACTGACCTTTCAAAAGGACAGTGCTCTCTTTTGTTACACCCATAAATCTATGCATTCGATCAGTGTGTGTCTTATTTTCAGTAATCTTTTCCATTTGCAATAGTTGCTACTACTTTGGGTTTTTTACTTCATGTCATAGCTCCCACTCGATGTTGGAAGGCTAAGGTGTTGGCTGTGCTTGTCTTCAGCTCCCTTGAAGTCAACCTGCTTGTTGGCACTTTAACATTTGACTTAAAGCAACGCAGACTCCCACTTGACAAGGCGCGTAAAGCAAAGCCTGCACTCAGCCTTTGGGTATACCCATATATTTCAGCATACAACTTCTTGTACTAAATCAATCATATCTCTTCAATCTTACTCCTTAATGCTTGGTTGGTTCATTGCCTGCGGTAGGATAAGTGGATGTTGGATAACTCAGAAAATGTTATTATCGTCAATTCTGAAACACACCTATGCAGACAGAATATAAATGCATCCCATGGATAGATAGGCACAAGCCTGGCTTCTTGGTGCTTTTGGTAACATTTGTGAGAAAGATTATACTTAGTGTGTCTGTTTATGAGAGAATCAAAAATATGAAAATGACAGGCTAGCCTACAGCAAGGTGTAAGAAAGATCATGATGAAGGAAAAGGGGGAGAGAAATAATCCTCTTTCCTTGATTTTTTGGTTTGTGTGTGGGTTTCCTTTGATTTTTTTTTTTTTTTTAAAGAGGAAGTTGAAGTATATGTGAAAGAACTTTTACAGCTCATGTCCCCTCCCTTTCAATACAAAGGTTCAGTTTGCCCAGAGGAAGATTTCTCACAGAAGACTGATTAACCTAGGAGATGTAGCTTGATCTAAAAAAAATTACTATTGTCTTGTTTAAAATGTGTGTCTGTAGCCATTTGGCAGTAAAGGATTTACCAAGATGAAGCTAATTATATCCTCAGCAAAATCCCACTATTTCTTTACTGAGAACACTTACAATTGCAATCTAAGGTTTGTTGAGGAGAAACTTCGAGGTCACCTCTTTAATTTTTTTTTATTAATGGAAACCTTGGAAGTCATCAGATAAACATAGTTGCAAACTGTAAAATTCACACCCACACTCAGAATTAAACAGATTCCCATTCTTCCCTGGTTCAAAGAAGGTTGGAGCTGTGATCCAGAAATGAAAGGTGAAATCTGGATCTCCAGGTTCAGTTCTAGCTTTGCTGCAGACTTCTATGTATGGCAGTGTAAAATCCTGAACCAAGACCTGTGACATAACTTAACATTTACAACCCAGCAGGTTAAAAAAGATAACATTAAATGACCTTTCTAGCGCCCCAGATCAAGTTCTTCCAGAGCCCGTCTGTGCTGTGGGTCCTTTTTGGGCTGTAAAAAATAACACACACAGGAATCGACATGGCATGGCACACTGTGTGTTAACATCTCAATTTCCATGAGAGTCTTCTGTCAGCAGCCTTTCAGCTTTCTTCCACAATGCCTCTGACTGGGAGTCTCTCTTTGGCTGACTTTGAGCTATTTAGAGTCTCGTTACAATGATATGGCTTTGGGGGTTTTAGATGTTATAGGACTGGAATGGAAGTGTGCTTGAACTTAATGTGATGGAGGTATATTTAATCTTGCTGTGCTTGAGCTGCCTTTACAAGGAGAGAAGCAGTCTGCAGTGTTTTTGGGGTACGCAGATAGTTTGTTGGTCAGGGTGTGTTAAGTAAATACTATTTGGATCTCTTGGTTTTGGATCTCTGGTTTTACCAGTCAGCTGTAAAATATCAAGCAAAGTTTTAAGGTATTGAGATCCAAAGATTTTGTTCAAGATATTAACAATGCACTGGCTTTTCTAAACACTCTAATTTGCAAATTGTTAAAGTTTCTGCTTTGCTAAACCTCTATAGGCTCTAAAAATTAACATTTATAATTTCAAATAGGAACTGATACTATATTTATGCTAACTAAAAATCCGTGGTAACCTGAAAAGTCAATTCGTACTGTGAATTAATATTTTGAATTGGTTGTGACTTGTTCAGTGGTTGAGTTGTTTGTGGCTTGTTGAGAGAAAATCATGTAGAGTTCCTGTTTCTATCATCATTTTGTTCTGTGTTAGGGGGTCTCAAAAACATGTTTAAACCCTGAAATACATCTTCTTGATTATTAAACTTGACAATACAGAAGCTATTGATGAAAAAGTAACTTCTGAAAGTAGAGTGGCTGTTTTTAGGAATAATATTGTGCAGAAATAGCGGGACTTGTGTGGATAAAAAAGATGTGAACGTTTCCATGTGTGTGTGGACAGCTAGCACAAAGTTCATTCTACAATAGTTCAGCATCGAACAGGGGTAGGGTTTTGGTTTCTTGGGTTTTGGTATTTATAGAATGTGATACATTCGTAGTCTGACCAGAATGAGTCTCAGATTGGGAACATGAGGAATGAGGAACTTTGTGCTGGGAAGGCAAATCCCATGCTTTCTGTCACAGCTCTCCAAAGTTGATGCCTCTTGTTCCCCTCACCACACTCAAGCTCCTCTGCAATTAGCTGGGATGACAATTTGGGCTGTTGCGCGCACGAACACAGCTCTTTCCTTAGCATGGCCCGTGTGTTTTCCCTGACTTGGTTTGTTTTGCTGAGTCCAGAGGACGGCCTTACTTGACTTTCTGTTGTTGTCCGTTTCACTACACTTTTGCTCCGGGTTGATCAGTCAGCTTCTGCTGTCAGGTAAGCTTAGGAAAACTTTATTTTCTCAAGCTAGCCTGTCATTTCTGTTTATGAAGAAATTTCATGAGCTCACCTCACTTAATCCACCTATTTTCCTTTCCTCTGACTCGGGTCTCCTTCTGTGCCCTCGGGTAATATTTTTCAAAATTAAGCTTCACCATTCTTGGCTGCCCCAGTTAGAGGGAGTGGGGAGAAGACAGACAGATACTACATCTCTTTCAAAACAGCCTAGTCTGTGAAAACTGTCTGTAGCAAAAGGTGCAATTCCAGCTAAAAGGACTATCTCACAGCATACCAGCTGAATGAAACAGAAATGTGTGCTCCTGTTCTCCTCCTCCGTATAGGAAAAACATCATGTTCTTTCCCATGCTAAACATTATTTTTTCTTTTGGAGGTCTGACAGCTCTCTTGTCATGAATTAGGTTGCATAATAGGTCTGTATCCAAATGCTGCCCCTGCTGAATGCTGCATAGGGATATTGTTTTCCAAGGGTGGCTTTTGGACACTGCTTTCACTTCTTGTTTATCATGTTCCTGCTCTAGCTCTGTGTCTTGTCCTCATCTGGACAGAGGGAGGACAGTCAATCTCTAGCACATTCATTTTTTAGCCTCTGGTAATACTATCAGTAAATAAACTAGTTCATATAATAAAGTTCAGATCAGGGAATGTAAGCCAATGACCAAGAGCCATCTGTTCCCCCATTGACTATATTTCTAGTGAAGAACTACCTCAGGATATCTTTTTGTCTTTCCCATATGTTTTTTTTATTTATATATTCTGCTTAAGTGGAAGATGCACCGAAACCTATAAATAACACATCATGCAAATGTGCTGACATGTAGGAAGTACAGAAATATTAATTCTCTGCAGGTAAACACCACAGTTTCTTCTAAACCTTATTAATCAACCAACAGAAAGTTTTTCTTGTATCTGTTAATCATGTGGTGAATACAAAAGATGCAGGCTTCACGAAGCCTTTAAGTACGGGGGAAGGATTATAACCTGTCTGATCCCCATAGGTGCATTGGATGGGTTGTGGAGTGCATTAGAATTTGAAATCCTTCATAATCCTGGTACTCCAGTTTCAACTTGCTTCCACTAATTCTCTTTTTTTTTTTTTTTTTTTTTTTAGAATACAGTTTGGTTATTTTGACATTACTTCTATAAATACTTGAGAATTTTACTATGAGGGTCAAGAAAATTGACTGCTCTTATCATGTACTCAGTCTGTTGGTATAGGCTTCTTTAAAAAAACTTATACGTAAGAAACAGTCAGAAATATCTTGGCTGTGTGCTATAGAGCACAACGTAGTTATCTCCAGGTAGTGGTACCACCACAGAGGTACCCACAGCCACCGCCGTGCTGACTGTCGCTATTAGCACAGATGCACGCACCCCGCTATCAGTTCAGGTATCCCCTGTCCATCTGTCCATCCAGCTGGTGCCAGGGCATCCCCAGCAGATACGGCTCTGCACAGAAACAGCCACAGGAGGAACCAATAAAAACTACGTTTGGCTTTGAGGTATTAGCGAGCACAACAGTGTAGCCTGCCTGACAGGATTCAGCCCACACCGTCTCTGTCCCTGCAGCCTGCCCTCACCGTCCCACCAAGGGGAGACTGGCAGGACCTGCCTTCACCCTCTTCTTGCTGAAGCTGCTCTGTGTTGTGTGGAATAATAAAACCACAGAGGGGAGCCGGAGATAGAGAGATGATTGTCCTACCCTCTGGTTGGGTTTGCTACATAGCAGTGAGGAAACCTGGTTTTGAACCCTTTACCGCTTCCTGCTTGGATGTTCTATACAGTACTTCTGTCTGGCACACTGTGGACAGAAACAACTGGCAATGCAGTGAGCAGCAGTGAGCCCCACATTGCATGTGTGTATCATTTAACTCTCTTATCCCTAATTTGGTGTGCACAGCTTGCCTGACAGCACCAGAGCTGTGGCGTATGTGCATCCTGAAAGTGTCCGGGAAATCCAGAATTTTCTAGAAGTGCCAGACTCAGTCCATGTGCATTGAGGAGGATGTCCTGGGATTTCTTGCACTTCAGTGTACTTTTCAGAATTGTGGTGGTGTAGCTGATCAAGTTGCCAGCTGAAATCCCAAACAAATGGGGATCTCTAAGGAAAACTGGACAATGCCATAGCTCTACTTTCACAATGCTGCTGTGGGACAAGGAGGGTTCCCCTCCTT